AGTCGTCGTCGTCGCCGACGCACGTGCTCGCGCACGCCCACGGCGACGACATTGTCTCGAGCGTGCTTTGGCGCGACAATAAGCTCTACTCGACGGGCCACGACGGGTACCTCGCTATCACCGAGCGCGTTGACGGCGTCTTCGTCATAACGCGCAAGCAGTCGATCAAGGGTCTCGCGACGCTTAAGCGCGTCTGGTTCGAGGGCGACGACCTCTTGGTGTTTGGCTTCCACGCCAAAATCGCCCACATCGTCAACGTCTCGCAGTCGTTCCGTCGGCTCTCGGTCACGACCGGCGGATGGCGCAGCCCGCACGCGCTCCGCGTCGAGTCGGCCCATGACCACGCGCTGTGCATTGGGCAAAAGGACACGATTCTGCTCCACGCGTCGAGCTCACTGCTCGAGGCAACGCAGGCAACGACGTCGGTGCACGGCCAGATGCACCACAGCAAGACGGCCTGCTGCGTCGAGTGGGACCCGGTGGCCAAGCTGCTGCTGACGGGCGGCGAAGACAACGCGCTCAAGGTCTACGCCTACGACGCGCAGCGCCAGGTACATGCATGCTGCTGCTACTGGAAAGAATGACGCAAATAGACTAGGTCCTCGACTGCATCGACTCGGTGAGCATGCACACGACCAACATTCGAGCGCTCGCTGTCACCAAGAACTACGTGGTGTCGGCGGGTGGGAAGCAGTCGTTGCACGTCTGGCGCCTGCACGAGAAGCGGCTTCAGCACGTCGGCGAGCACACGCCACGCGATGCGCCGCAGGACCAGCGCATCCTTGCTCTTGTTGTAACGCAGCTGGGTGACGGCCGCACGCTTGCGTTTGCAGGGTCCTCGGAAGGCGCGGTGACGGCGCTGCTCATCGACGCGGCCGGTCACATCCACGTCGCCGGTGTCTTTGGCACGTCGACGCGAAAGCCGATCTTGTCCTGCGGCCTCTACCACGTTGAGAACCAGCTCTACTTGGCGACAGGCGCGACCGACGGCAAGGTCGTCGTCTGGCACCTCACCGACGCCGTCGCGACAAGCAACTACAATGACGTGACGCCGGCGTACGTCTACACGGCCCATGACATGGGCGTCAACTGCCTCAGCATCCTCGCCGACGGACCTTCCTCGTGCTTTCACATTGTGAGCGGCGGCGACGACCAGTGCATCGCGCATGCCACGATGACGCTTACCTCCAATGGCGGGCTCGCGACGACAACTCACCACGCTGGCGTCCGCAATGCAAGTGCGTCGGCGCTCAAGGCGATTCGGTGCGTCGGCAACGTTGTCGTCGCTGGCGGCTACGACCAGCGCGTGACCGTATGGCGCTGGAACGACGCTCGCTCGGCCTTGACGTGGGCGGCCGCGGCCTTGTCCGAGACAGCCGACATTGCAGGTCTCGCCGTCTACGAGGCGCTGGATGCATCATCGTCGGCGCTGCAGATTGTGGCCGTCGGGAAAGGCCTGCAGGCGTGCACGTTCACCGAGTGAAGGGATGCACGACGTGTATTCAGTGGGATTAAGACAAGATATATATAACCTCGCGACTCGCGTGGTCTACATCTCATCGTCGTCGGCGCCAAACGTGTTCTCGCCGCTGTACGTAATGTAGAGAAAGCCGTCCGTGTCCTTCTGCTCTTCATAAATATTCGACATGAGCGCCGCCGTCGGCGGCAGCACGTTGTTGATGAAGATGAAGATGGCCTTCTCGGGCGAGAGCTTGATGCGCTTGCGGATCACGTACACAAACTGACCCACCGTCAGGTCCGCGGGCACGAGGTACTTCTTCTTGTCAATGTCGGGGATGTCGCTGCGGTCGGCCTTCTCGCAAATGACCGGGATACGGTCAGGGTACTTGGAGCGGATGCGCTGGGCCTCTGCTTGTCGCTTCTCTACACATACACACTGTCAACCTGCCACGCCCGCTTCCATCTTCGTACCGAACGGGTGCTCCTTCTTGAACGAGTTCATGGCGCTGTCGGGTGCTTCGATGCTCAAGCGGCTGGAAGAAGAATGGGTCCAAAGTTCTGCAACGGCTACCTCGCCGAATTCGAATTCTATTGCATACAAATGCCAAGTACTTTGGCACGGTTTCCCCGCGCGCTCCCCGTGCCCTAGCCGAATCCACCAATCATACACCGTTGCGATGCCTAATTTGGGAGAGGTTCGACGACCATCATTCTCAACGTCCCCATGCATACAAACGCCAAATGAGTAGTGTTGTGGGAAGGGGGCTGTTCCGTGCCTTCAAGTAGGACTTGTCCGAACATCGAAAATGGATCTTTTTCTTCTTAGGACCTCGACAGGCCCACGGCCCACACGGTGGACTTGATAGTGTTCATCACCTGTCGTGTCACCAGGAAGTTCCTACCAGTAGAAGCATGTTTCTTTGAGCTCGCGCTAAACTGCCGGAGAGCTGCATCAAGATGACCGAGGGAATTGGAGCTTGCGTCGAGTGCGTAGGCCAGGCATTATCGCCGATCATGACGACAGCGAATACAGCCTCTGCTAGGGGCGGGGCATCGCAGGATCAGCTGCGGTAGCCTGCGTTATTCGGCATGAAAATGGCAGCACATTAAGGCCATGGATGGCACGGCGCCCACGCAATGGGGATTGGTTGCCCCGCATCTCGCCGGCTCTGGAGGTTGGTTGCTCACGACGCTGCTGCCAAACATGACATAAACAAATTTTAAGCGCTTCCATACAAACATCGAGTTGTATTTAACTTTTTGCACTCAATTGGACAGGGCCATGGAAATGATCGAAATGGCGGGTCACTCAACCTATCACAACGTCCTGATTTCAGCCAATGGCATCGCCGGATTCGATCGCACCACCCGCGACTGCGATCTTGACGGAAGGGCAGCAGAATCCCTTTTGTCCTCGTCTTGGAATGGAGCGCTTCAGCTACTCGCGCAACGGCGGCGTCGACTTGAGCTGCAGCGTGCGCGTCTCGGTACCCAGCACCGTCGACGTTGACGGCAAGACGTACTACAAGGTCGCGATGAAGACGGTCAAGACGTCGCCCGCCAAGTCGTGGGAGGTCGTGCACCGGTACTCGGAGTTCCTCGCCCTCAAGCAAACGCTTCATGCGCACTTGAGCGAGCAAACGGATCTTGGGAAGACGTGCCCGGGCTGCCAGCACTACATGCATGCACTTGGTCAGTTTGACTTTCCGCGCAAGCACCTCTTCTCGTCCAACTCGGCCATGGTCATCAAGTACCGCCAGATTTCGCTCCAAGCCTTTGTCTCGATGCTGGCATCGCACACATTCACGACATCGCCGCGGTGCCCCACGTGCAGCGGCCACGCCTTTGAGCTCGTGCGCGACTTCTTCATCGTGAACGACAATCCCGCAATCCTCGAGAAGCTCCCGACGCCGATCCAAGAGGCCGGCAAGTCCGAGTCACTGCGTTCAGCGCTTACGGTCGACAACTTCCTCGAAGTCCACCCCGTCGCGCGCGACACGGTCGTCAACAGTGCCGGCGAATTCCTCTCATCGCCGGCCAAACCATCCCCCGGTGAGCCATCACCTTCAAAGCATCGCGGGGCGTCCAAGCAACCACCGCCAGCGCCCATGCCATCGGCCAAGAGCCCTACCAAGGAAGGCCACATTCAAACGAGCCAGCCGATTCAGGCCAAGGTGTCGTCGTCGTTGGTCCCAGACGCGCCCCTCGACGTCGACCGCTACTCGTTCGAGAGCGGCGTGCCCATCGCTACAAAGCCACCAGTCGTCGTGCATGAAGAGAGCGCCGACGACGACGACTTGTCCTTTGACGGCGTCCGCATCTCGGACCAGGACGACGAGAATGCGATAAACATGGACTTTCTCGCGCCGAAATTGAAGGCCCAGCCCTCGATGCCCACGACCTTTTAGGATCAACGAACGATGCGTCTAACTTACGAACACCAATGCACATCGTCCTACCCTCTCCGTATAGCCCGCAGAGGCAGGACCACCTACAACAAGTTGCCCGTTTTGGATGAGAATCTCTTGCGTTGGTAGAGAGCAGGGTCATTGCCAGTGTGGCGTCGAAACAAGCTTCTTGCTCTAAGCGCATCAGACCAACCCTGAGACCAACGAAGCTTGGTTACGCCATGGTCCCGTGTCGGGGCTCCAAAGCGCCACTTGGTGAGGTGTACATCTGCGTGTCGACGGCATGTTGGTGTCATTGCCATCGCGTGTCGCTTGAGACTCGACACTGCGCATGTTTCCGACCGTGCAGTCCCGATAGAGGACCTGCAAGCAAAAATGTGGGGTTGATAGTTATAAATTTATGGTAGGCAAGGGTTGATACTGATTGCAGGCGAGAAGCCTGCAAAGGCAAAGATGCTTAAAAGTCGGCGTCGAGCGTGAAGGACTGGTCCTCGGCCGAGACACCGACGCCCGACTTGGAGTACTCGCCGACGCGCTTCTCGAAAAAGTTTGTCTTGCCCTGGAGCGAGATCATGTCCATCCAGTCAAACGGGTTCTTGGCGTTGAAGAGCTTGGTCGCACCCAGCGCGTGGAGGAGGCGGTCGGCGCAGAACTCGATGTACTCGCACATCAAGGCCGAGTTCATGCCAATGAGCTCAACGGGAAGCGACTCGGACACAAACTGCTTCTCAATCTTGACCGCGTCGCCGACGATCTCGTGGATGCGTTCGTTCGACAGCTTGTTGATGAGCTTCGAGTACATGAGGCACGCAAAGTCGCAGTGGAGGCCTTCGTCGCGCGAAATGAGCTCGTTGGAGAAGCTCAGCCCGGGCATGAGGCCGCGCTTCTTGAGCCAAAAGATCGAGCAGAACGACCCGGAAAAGAAGATACCTTCGATTGCGGCAAACGCGACAATGCGCTCCGCATAGGCCGCAATTTGGCTGTTGCACCACTTGAGTGCCCATTGGGCCTTGCGCTGGACGCACGGGATTGTGTCAATGGCCCGGAGGACGCGGTCCTTCTCGGTCGTGTCCTTGATGTACGTGTCAATGAGGAGCGAGTAGACTTCCGAGTGGATGTTCTCGATCGCAATCTGGAAGCCGTAAAAGCAGCGCGCTTCCGGAACTTGGACTTCGTTCGAGAAGTTCATGGCGAGGTTCTCGTTGACGATGCCGTCCGAGGCCGCGAAGAACGCCAGCACGTGCGTGATGAAGAAGCGCTCGTTGTCGCTGAGCTTCTCCCAGTCCTTCTGGTCGTGGACAAGGTCGAGCTCTTCGGCGGTCCAGAAGCTCGCCTCGGCCTTCTTGTACATCTCCCACACGTCAGCGTGCTGGATCGGGAAGAGCACGAAGCGGTTCGGGTTCTCCGAGAGGAAGGGCTCGGGCGTGAGCTCGCCGTTGAGCTCGCGGCGCTTGTACTCGGTGATGTCGCCGATGATCTCGGGCTGCGGAATGGCGACCATGCTGCTGCTCTGGTTCTTACTCGGTCGATTGAAAAGTGAGCTTGGAGAAGGCCGACGTCACGCCATCTTGGCGGCAAATGGTCGCCCGCCAAAACGACTCCGGATACGAATTCGCTTAAAGCGTAAAAAGGTGGCGTCGTGTCAGCCTCTTAAGTCTGCGAAAGGGCGACTTTGTACTCAATTACGCGAATGCACACATCGGCCGAGGCTGTTTTTATTGTTCAGGCGTGTATTTTTAATGTGGCCCCAGTGGGCGTTTGTATGCAGCCGCCAGTCATTTTACGGTGGCGTTGGATTAAAAATACCGCGGACGTGTTTTAATATCGCAGCGAGGGCCGGCGAAGGATGCTCTCCCAAAGATCGCGCGCAAGATGGCGCCCAGCGCCATTTGCGCCATTTGCGCCAACGAGGCAATGGGGAGGAAGATGGCGCTGGATGCATTTGCAGCGTAGCGTGCGAGAGATGCCACCGTGGTGGGCGAGTCGAATCGTGTGGGTGGAAAAAAGACGTCTGTCCACCCGCGCCTCGAGCCAATCGCCGGGGCGATCGCCGCCATAGCCTCGCGTCGTCCATCATGCCGCCAATCCAAAGCGTGACTTCGGCGTGCGCCACTTGCGCCACTTGGCACGACCAGACGAGATACACCGTCCGATCAGTGGCCAATTGGCAGCGAGCGCGCCGCGTCTCCCCGTCCGAATTTGCCGCGAACCGTTCCCGCCAAGCATCTTCGTAGGCAATCTGGCGCGCCTTTGAACGACAGAAAAAGCTTCCGCAGGTCCATGCGACATCGACAGAGGAGACACGATCGCATCATCCCATCCTGCGCCGTCCATGCAGCACAGATATCATTGGCAGCTGCGAGGATCCACTTGGCAGCATGGACATAACGATCTGATGTCGTCATTTGCTGCCGGCCGAGCGGTGACACCTAGACTACCGGTTCGACGACACACACTGAACGAGTGAAAATGAAGAAGAATATACTAGTACATTACTATATGTGGGATAGTCGTCAGTTGACAGATTACATGCTATCTGTAATCTACTAGTACTCTAAGGCGTTGTGGCTTGGTGGACCTTGTCGAGATAGCCGCCTTCACTGCAGAGCTCAAAGAAGATGCCGTCGCCTTGCGCAATGAGGTTGCTCGGGCTGTCGCTCTGCACGAGACGGCCGTGGTCCAACACGAGGATCCGGTCGCAGTCGAGCACCGTGTCGAGACGGTGGGCGATCGTGAGGACGGTCGAGTCGGCAAACGCGGTGCGAATCACGTGCTGGAGCTTCTGGTCCGTCGCGTGGTCCATGGCCGCCGTCGCTTCGTCCATGACGACGACCTTGGCGCGCAAGAGGAGCGCACGGGCCATGCACAGCATTTGGCGCTCGCCGACGCTAAAGTTCTCGCCGTTCTCCTCGACGTCGCTGCTTAAACCGTCCTTCTCGATGCGCTCGACCAAGTTGACCTTGCGCAGCACGTTCCAGAGATCGTCGTCTTGAAACTGGTCAAACGGGTCGAGGTACTGGCGGAGCGTGCCCTTGAAAAGGACCGGGTTTTGCGGAATGATCGCGATGCTTTCGCGGAGCGTCTTGAGCCCGACCGATGCGCAGTTGATGCCATCAATCGAGATGGACCCGGCCGCGAGCTCGTTGATGCGGAAGAGTGCCATGGTCAAGCTCGACTTGCCAGCACCCGTGCGACCAACGATACCGACTTTTTCCCGGCCCCGGAGCGCGACGCTCACGTCCTTGAGCACGAGCGGGTCGTTTTCCTTGTAGCGGAAGCTGACGTTCTCAAACGTAATCGCTCCCTGCGACGGCCACGACTGCGTCGAGACGGCGCCAGGAATCACACGCGGCGCTTCGGGCGGAATCTGCGTGTACTCGATGATGCGCTCGGGACCGACCATGGCGATCTCGAGGTCTGAAGAGTCTTGGATGAGGTACTGGAGACTGCCCGGGATGCCAAGGGCGTAGTTGAAGACGATGCCAATCCAGCCTGGTGACAGCGTATCACGAAGACCGATAAGCGCAGCCGTGATGACCAATACCAAGAGCGCGCTAAGGAGCTGTGTCTGCAGCAGTAGCCACTGCTGGAGCACTTGGCGCACGAGGACGGTGGTATTGCAATGGTCAACGGTCGCGGCGTGGTGTGCAGCGAAGCGGTGTTCATGGCCGAACGCCCGCACGACGACGGCGCCGTCAATGGTTTCCGCGACCCACTGTAGCATCGGCGACGACGCGACCTTGCTGAGGCGCTCCACGTCCCGCGCCGGCGCAATGTAGAAGCGCCCGATCATGTAGTATAGATACAGCAGCGGTACCAAGGCGAGTGCATACCACCCCATGGCAACGATCGATGTCGTGACCGAGAGGAGGAAACCCGAAAGCGTGCCAATGAAGAACGTGTACGTGAACGTGACGTCGAGGTCGACTTTAGTGACGTCGCCGCTGAAGCGATTGAGGATGCGGCCGGCGGGCGTCGTGTCGAAGAACGTCATGGGTGCCCGATAGAGAGCGCGCGCCATGTCTTCAAAGAGCACGCGGCTCGCGCGCCGCCCCGCAACCGAAATGCTCAATACGCGGCAGACGACAAGGAGCGCAACAACGACGCAGAGACCAGCGTAGACGCAGATGCCAAAGCCCGCGTTTGCTTGCATCTCGGGCGATGACGCCCAGTGACTCAGCCAAAGATCGCGCCCGACGACGACAGTCTGCCACGTCATTTGCACGAACAGCACGAGAAGCACCGCGCCGGGGCCACCCGCAGCGCGCATGTAGTTGGCAAACACACGTGGCGAGACGCGCCCTTCCGACCGCGCCTCGGCCTGGATCAGGCGGTGGGTCTCAGTGGCCCCAATGGGAGACGTTGCCGCCATCGGCGACTCGACCCGCATTTCTGAGGCCTGATACTCGGCATCGCCCTTGCTGTAGACCACCTTTGGGTGCGCCGCGAGCGGCGAGAGGGCCGAGTCGAAAGCTTCTTTGGCCGTGTTGATGGTTTGCTTGCAGATCCCGTTGGCAATCTCGATCGTGCGGTCGACGTGCTTGGACGCGATGATCTCGGGGTTGTGCGTCACGAGCAGCACCGTCTTCTTCGACAAGAGGCCGAGAAAGCACTTGGTGAAAATCTCGTTCGAGACAATCGCATCCACCGCGGACAAGGGCGAGTCCAAGAGAAAGACGTCGCCGTCGTTGTAGCACGCGCGTGCGAGCGCGATGCGCGCTTTCTGGCCGCCGCTGAGGTTGACGCCTTTCTGGCCAATCTCGGTGCGGTCCCCGGCGGGGAGTGCGGCGAGATCTTTGGTCAAAGCGCAGGCGTCAATGACGGCCGCGTACTTTTTCCGGTCGTACGGCTTGCCAAAGAGGATGTTTTCGCGGATCGTCATGTTTTGAATCCACGCTTGCTGCGAAAAGTACGAGACGCGGCCACCGACAAAGACCGACCCGCGCAGCTTGTCGAGCTCGCCGAGAAGGATCGAGCAGAGCGACGACTTGCCTTCGCCGACAAGGCCGTGGACGACGACGAGCTCGCCTTGGTGGATGCGCAAATTCAAGTCCGTAAAGATGGGCTTTTCGTGGTCCCACCCAAACGCGCCGTCGTCGATCGCAATCGCCACCTTGTCGGTAGCCAACGGCGCGAGCTGGTCCGGAGACAGCGTTGTCGGCGTCTGAACATTGTCCACCGGTCGCTCGGGCAGTGCCAGGAAGGCATCGAGGCGACGCACCGAGACGAGCCCCGTGAGCGCCGACGTGAGTGTGTGCGGAAAGTTGTTAAGCGGCGTCGAGAGCGAGTTGAAGAGCGCGAGGGCACCAAACACCTTGGCGACCGTCACGTCTTGACGCAGCAGCAGCGTGTACGTGGCAAGCGACGCGACCGTGACCGTCGCTGGGATGATGTACGCCATCGAGATCGTCGCGCTGGCCAACGCAAAGAGGCGCCGGAGCGACTGCACTTCTTTGACCCGCAGCGCGAGAAGCTTGGTTAACACGGCATCTTCGGCGGCTTGTAGCTTGAGGATTTGGATAGCACCCACGACTTCGTGCACAAACCGCATGCGTGCATCCTTTTGCGCCATGAGCGTGTCCATCGCGCGGTACCGGAGCTTGACGAGGACGTTCGTGATTGGCGCACCGAGGACAAGAATGGCCACGCCGACAAAGGTGGCCCACGAAATGATCTTGTAGAGTAAGACGAGCGTGATGACGATCTGCAGCGGCATAAGCCAGAGGTAGTGGATGTAGAACGTCACGCGCAGAATGGCGTTGATGTCGGAGGTAAAGTAGTTGGTGAGGTCGCCGGTGGAGATGCGCTTCCGGCACGTCGCGTCGAGGCGCAACGTCTTCTCAAAGAGCAGGTGCTGCAAGCCGGCCGTGAGGCGCACGACGAGGACCTTGTCGAGGTAGTCGGTGTGTGCCGAGAGCAGCGCCGCGGTGACTTGAATGAGAAAGAGGCTACCAAGCGTGGTCCACAATAACGATGAAGACCACTCTTCCTCTGGCGACTCGAGCGTCGAGAGCACTTGATGCAGCACATATGGCCCGTAGAGAGTACACGGCACGAGCAAGAGCTGCGCGAGACCGATGAGCGCAAAGCGCCGCCCATGGAGGCGTACAAACGTGCGGAGAAGTGACTTGGTCGCGGCGTAGGTCGGTGTAAACGATGGGATGACACCGGCACAAGCATTTGAGGCCTCAAGCGGCCACATATCACTTTGGTCGAGCTGCCGCGTATGGCCGAGTCGAAGCAGCGGAAGGACCCAGGAAAAGACCGCACGCGACGCGAGGGACGCCGACGCTACAGGGGTAGTGGGTCCGTCCTGAGAGCGCTGCATGGTTCGAGCCTGACACGCAAAAAGGCAAAGTGAGATCTTGGTGGTTGTTTCCCTCCTTTGTAACGGCCGCGTTTAAAATTTGCGAATCAACGGTTCGTGAACTAATAGTACACGTGTAGCAAAAGGTTTGATAGAAATTGAAAGTGCGCTAGATGGACATCTGGACATCTCGTCCAATAATTCGGCAAGCGTCTACCTCGTGCGCATGCTGGACAATAATTGACCAAGGACCTAACATCACTAATCGTACCAGAAGTCCTCGCCACACGTCCTTCCTCACTTTCGTGATGCCCGTGATGTTTAACAGCTCGGTAACTTGAAGCTTTGTAGGTAAAACCCGTGGCGACTGATTCAGTAAATTGTACCTTAACATAAGCACACTGGCTGCATTGTCGACCACCGCTCGAGGGATTTTTGTAACACATCGTAAATGATCACTGACACACATCGGTTCAGGACACGAGCACACAGGAAAAACACAAACTTCGCAACTTTGCAAACACATCAAAAACAACACAGTCGCTCTCGATCACCGTCCAACAGCAGCAGTACAAATCATTACACGCGCATAATAGCAGCGATGATAGCCAAGTTATGAGCGGGCTGATAGAAAAGAGACACCTGAAAATGATGCCTGAAAATGCTATCGGTCGGTCATAAGCGTTGCCGGTGCGGCGCCAAAATTTTAGAAGATTGTCAAAGCGTCGTTCGATTGGCTGAAAACGACAATACAGTATTGTAGCTGATCATCTCTAAATACAGTATTGTAGCTGATCATCTCTAATCATGCTCGGCCAACGTCAGGGTAACTTGGCCCACTAGAACCATTTTTCGTGCCAGAACGGCTATCTCTACTAACACCGCCGTACTGCAGCTTACGACCAGGGGATCAAAGCCAAATTCCTTTCGACAAATGATACGATGTGATGAGCATTTTCATGAAATGCATGACAGAGCGGATGTTGTGAACCCGGAATTGCGAGAATGAAGCGATGCCATTGGCCTAGAAGACAATCATTTCATCCAATGGCATTGCGAATACATTGACAGTCTCCAAATTGCAGCGCAATGGACAAGGACCGCAAGGACGGACCAGACCCGTACGCGGCGCTCCGGCAGACCGTTGGTGACACGCTCACGCGCCTTCGCGACGACGTCGACAGCAACCTTGTCATGTTCCGCTACGGCTGCATGGTCACGATGGTAGACCACGACCTCTCTGGACCACAGCTCACGTGAGCGCTAGCTTGGCTGCGTCTACGTGACTGTACGCTCGACTGGCGCGGTACCTATTGCAGCAAGACGTGTTGTAGCCGATAACTCATTGTGACTAGCTCACGCGCTTCTCGACGATTCCGACGCTGCCACTTGGGAAGAAGGTCGTCGCGCGCGTAGTAGGCCAGCACCCGAAAGACCCGACCGTGCTCTACGTGTACCACACGCCGTTCCTTCGGCGCGTGCTCTTGCGCGAGACGCTGCCTCGCGGCATGTCTGGCCACGAGCTCATCGGAGACCCGGCGAAATGCGGCGTCCTCGCTGTCCGGCCTTTTGGCGTGCAGTTTGAGACCGACGTACATGCACCTTCCGAGCAGCTAGTACAGTCAGGGATTCTCACGCGCCGTGATAGGACTTTCTGTACTCACAACTCGTGTCCAAGCAGCGCTATGTCAAGCTCGAATGCTTTATCGGTATGTCGATATCACCATTCCAGGCTATTATTCCGCATACGTCGCAGGACCAAGGACCCGGATCTCGGCGTCTGTGCCATGTCCACACGCAGTGTACGAGCTTTATCGCAAGTCGATGTGCAGTGGCTCATGCTTAACTAGTACATTCGCCGCCAAGACGTGGCCGAGACGGCAGTCTCGCAAGGCGTTGGTGTCTGCCGCGTCGAGTCGTTTGCAGAAAAGGGCGTCACAAGCGCAAGGTAGCAGAGTACAAACGATGCCACGATTCCAATGATGCGTAGCTGCGTCCCCAAGATGGAAGCCCGCGCCCAGCGGCTCCTACACTGCGAGAAGCACGCGCAGACCATGCGGTTTGGCCGCTGGAAGGACTGGCAAGAAGACGAGCTCAGCCAGCGCATCGTTTCGGCGGGCAAGCGCGCGTCCAACGCAGCGCTGCACAAGGTCTTTGGTGTCTTTAAGTCGTAGGCATCTCAATGACAGTTTTGGAGTGCAAATGGAGTCCTTCTCATGCTGTGTCGCTTGCTTCAGGTGTGTTGGCGCGACAACGGGTGGTGACGGAGTGCGACCGTTGGCCCCTTCTAGCTGAAGGGCACTGGGGACATTTCCTCACGTAGCCCCTTTTGATCCGTCCGATGCGAAGGCACCGACGACCGCAGAGTCTTGTTGCATTGGTGCCGCTTCGAGTTGTCTCTACACCGGGCGACTAGCTTTTCTCTCCCGCGTGGTCCGAGGTTCGGGGCCTGCGTGCGATTTTAAGCGCGCTAGTATCCCTTGGCGAGTGGTGACGACCACGGGAAACATCTCTGCACGCAGCGCACTTCCGTCGATCAAGCTCCGGCGACAACTCCCACGTAGTGGTTGCGGGAGAGGAAGCTTCGCGCTGGAGGCCCACGACAATTCGTGACTGGGGTAAAACGAGTAGTAGGTGCATTATGCAGGCGTGCGAGGGTTGCATACGCAGAGGTTGGAGCTTGAACACGACTTGAAAACGAACTCGGAACTTGGGTCGTTGGCTTTGCTAAGCCGGTTCGTTCCGGGAGCTGCTCACAATGACTGACGCCCGTGCTTTGTCTAAAAATACAGCTAGCTTTAGCTTTCCGCGAGAAGGACGACCTTGTGTGCAGAAACTATTCGGAAGCTGGGACACCGCAGTTGGACGCGACGTCGAATCCGCGCACAGCGCCGTACGAAGCCGCGTTTCCGTTGTTTGAAGAGCCGAGTGGGTCGCTGCGATGGACACGTTGCCGGCCCTTTCTCTTTATGCTCATGGTATCAAGGGTATGTGCGAGCCGGTCTCGTGGTTGCTCTCCGCGGTGCAGCAGATTGCAGGCCTAAAGTGTTTTCTGACATATTGCGCCCCTCGAGCACCATCAATCAATCTGGAACTCTCGCACGTGGTTGTCGACGTTGGTGGCGACACCGACAGCTTTTGCCTCCACCAACAATGACACCTTGAAGAGCCAACGTCATGCAGAGGGCAACGAGGAGCTGTTGGGCAAGCGTGTGCGGCAGTTCCAAGGAGTCCGTCGTCTCAAAATCGATGGCGTGGTATCTTGGGTATGAACGGTTCATAATGAAAACAAAAGTGCGGCGACACAGCAGTAGACAACGACACGGATGGATTTATTTGGTTTAGGGAAATCGCTTAGCCGTAGCAGCGGATCTGGTCGGTCGAGCCGACGCGGGAGCACTGACCGCCCTTTTCGAGGTACTTTTGGTGGTAGTCCTCGGCGTGGTAGAAAATGCCAGCGGGCACAATCTCAGTGACGACTTCGGCCTTGATAGCTTCGGCCTTCTGCGCCTTGGCCTCCTCGGCCGCGAGGCGCTGCTCTTCGTTGTGGTAAAAGATACCCGACCGGTACTGCGTGCCAACGTCTTCCTTTTGGCGGTCGACGGTTGTCGGGTCGTGGATCTCAAAGAATTTGTCGAGGAGTTGCTTGTACGTGATCTTGCTCTCGTCGAACTTGATCTGGACCGCCTCGGCGTGGTTCGTGTCGCCCTTGCACACCTGCTTGTAGCTCGGGTTCTCGGTTGTGCCGTTGATGTAGCCGACGTGCGAGTCGACGACACCTTCAAGGCGCTGGAAGTTGAGCTGGACGCTCCAGAAGCAGCCAGCAGCAAAGGTCGCGAGCGCCTCGTTGGGCTCGAGCGTCACGGGCACTGTCTTGGTCATTCTGCTAAAAAGCGGCAATTTCAGAAATGAGGTTCATCCCCAGGACCTACCGTGCCGCCACCTGGCTCCCGAGGACCCGCGACAGACGGCGGCCAGTTGGGATTTACCGTGCCCTCTTAGGTACTCCGGATAGTAACCGGATGCTGCCAACCGATTGGGTTGGACTTCCAGTGACGTCAGGAAACAGGCCAATCACAATGTCAGATATATTTTTTGCCAATCACAATGCCCGATTGAAAGATCGGGGGTAGGGGAGAACGAGCCAATCCGCTCGTTGTCGGTCGCGCCTTCAACGATGATTGCGCCACCCCAACGCATTTCCAAGCTTGAAGACGTTCCGACGCGCGATGGACGATGAGCATGTAGAGGCTGCGAAAGACAGCTGTAGCGCGCTTGCGCGGCCCGAACAACACGAGAAAGATCGCGAACACTCGGACGCAGCTTGTTGGGGTCATGGACAAGCAGCACCAAGAGCGTCCACGTCACCAGGAAAAATGCATTGGAAACGAATGGTCGCGACTGTCGGTGTCTGATCGCCGACCAACTTCAACTGATAACTCGGCGGAGCACATCGGCTCCAACTTCAGACAGCACGGCACCGACAGCTAGCACCGGCCAGGTCACTCGGCTTGGACTCGGTTGCTGTATCACGACTGCGAGGGCAGAATGTATTGTGTGCCTCCTTAAGCCATTCGTGCGCTACCATCACGAACCAAGAACATGCTGAGCCCCATAAAATGGCTGAGCTCTGCACAAGTCTGTCCATCGACGATTTATTTCGGCGCGTTTCGTATCATTGACCCCCTAGAAAGGCTGTAGTAACAGTAATAGGCTTAGCCGTAGCAGCGAATGGCGTCGGTCGAACCCTTGCGCGCGCACTGCCCGCCCTTTTCCAAGTACCGCTGGTGGTAGTCCTCGGCAACGTAAAACGTCTCGGCCGCGACGACCTCCGTGACAATCGGTCGGCGAAAGCGCGGCTGCGCCGACGCCTTGGAGGCCAACGCGAGCGACTTTTGCGCGTCGCTGTGGTAGTAAATGCCCGACCGGTACTGCGTGCCAACGTCGTTCTTTTGCTGGTTGAGCGTTGTGGGGTCGTGGATGGACCAGAACTTGTCGAGCAGCGCGTCGTAGCTCACGACAGCCGGGTCAAACTTGATGCGGACAGCCTCAGCGTGGCCCGTCTTGCCCGTGCACACCTCGGTGTACGTCGGGTTGGCCTTGGGCCCATTCGTGTAGCCGACGTGCGTCTCGAGGACGCCGGGGATGCGCTGGAAGTTGAGCTCGACGCTCCAGAAGCAGCCGGCGGCGAAGGTCGCAATGTTGTCGCTGCCGCCGGCAACGGTTGATGCCTGGCGCGTCAGCACCCGGCGCGCTGGCGTCAAATACGATCGGAGCGCGGCCCCACACATCACTTTTTAACGTGGCTCGAAACCAGTGTTCTTGTACAGTGCATGCCAGTAAGAAGTTCTAGTATCGAGAGTTGAAGTTTCGAGACGGAAATGATCTCGAATCACCCTCGAGAATGCAGGATACGCACTTCTGGTGGGGCGCGATGGAATGCAGCCCCAGCAAAGCTACGAGCTAGGACTTCAACAGTTTAACAGTGTGGAAACAATTCGTTTGTAGCGAGCTACGTGGAAGCATACAACGCCGGGTCATCTGTAGCAGACACGCGAGAGCAGGACTAGTGCTGCGGCATCGGCGCTTCAATTCCATGCTCGGCCATCTTGTCCAGCATCGTGTGCTTCATGAGTGCTGCAAATTTGACCGAGTTGTCACGGTGCAGCCGAAGCATGATCTCCGTGAGGGTGCCAACAGCCGGTTGTTGGGTGCGCAGTGCCTGCGGAAACATGGGTGTCATCGACTTGGCGTAGAGCGCGAGGAAGCACTCGGTCTCGCTTCGCGCGTGAACCGTGACCCTACGCTATCTGAATGAGCTAGCGTATTCATCGCCCATTGTGCTCCACCAGCCGACGCGGTTTTCGATCAAGTGGTCCTCGTCGTGCGGGATGAGGTGGTCCTCGACAATGGAGCGCCAAGCAATGACCACTCTGCCATGCTCGACCCACCGGCGCCCCGCGAGGCGCGACTCGAGCGCCGGCATTGCTGCGTCGGGCAGCTCCGTCGTGAGCCTATCCACGCATCACGATCGCACTAGTGTACGTAAACGGATGTACCGAATGTAGACCAAGTCGGGCTCGAACGCATACAGCAACTAGGACCCTCCTCATTGGTCCGAGTTCAGAAAGACAATGTGTACACACCTCTTGCGTGATGCCGGGCGCGTCGCCCGTCATGTGGTCCCAGAGCAAGTCCGCCATGGCGCGAAACGGAAGCGGGCACCGCGCCGTGCGTAGAAAGTGCAGCTCCATCGCATGGCCGTCGGCCGCGCTATGGACAAACGACGACTTGAGTGGGGCGTTGGTGTCGATCGCGTCAAAGAGGCCGCGGCGAATCCACTCGGTCTCGAGCTTGTCGTACTGGAGCGCCATGAGTCGCTCGAGGTCCAAGTGCCGCTGCGTTGTGCGCAGGATCGCACGTCGCCACATATCGTTCTCGTCCTCGGTCGCTCGGATGGGAAAGTGCGCGAGCTTGGGGCGCTTGTGCAGCACGTGCTGGAGCGCTTGGAGGAGCTTGAGCGACTCGTGGAGTGAGGCTTTGAGTGACTCGTTTTCGTGCCGCGCCTTCTGGGAATTCTGGGCTTGCGCCAGGGCCTTGGCCTTCCACGACGTCTCTTCCCACGGCTGCGCGCTCTGGAGCGCACTGTACTGCGCAACGAGGTCCTCGTGCTTGGCGCGCAAGTAGGCCAACTCCTCCTTGGGTGACGCGCGGCGCTTCCGTGACGTTGACGCAGTCGACGTCGCGAGACCAAAGTCGACTGTCGTCGCGAGAAAGTCCGAGAGGCTCTCGATCGACGTGTCGTTGTTGGTGGTGGTGTTGCTCGCCTGCATTGCCATTGGGAAATGCGGCGGATGATGATGGAAGGCGCGGGTGCGATCATCACGTATAATACTAGTAGCAGTGATTACTGACCGTGTGGTACGAAGAGCTATGTACGCCCAGTACCTTGTCTTTTGCCCAACTCGGTGGTTTTATCGCACCAGCACACAGACACTGCACTGAGCTCGTCATGGGACACATGACCAACTCGGCGAGACAGTGTAGAGCTTCGTATGATGCGCAAGGTGTTTTGACCTTGATGGTTTTTGGCGACTCGAGACAGTACAGTAGTTGCGGACGACCCGAACCTGCACGCACGGTTCCTTTCCACGCGGACCCGAGACGCGAAAGCTACTAGAAGCATATTTAAGTTCAAATGGTATGCTATTGGAGTACCGGTACATGTAGTGGCCGTCCTCGTGGGTTTCCAACAGATTCACCTGCTGACGTGATCGACCTTGCGTGACGACGCGTCGATACTGGAGAAGCTACTGACTGCCACCGACTGCACCCTCAGCTTCCAGACACTGTGTACCTTGTCTTGTCTGGGCACTTGCAGTGACGCCAACGATCGTTGCCGAAGCTCGCCCGAATCAACTTCCGTGGAAGCTCCTTCCATGCCGAAATGCAATTTCGTTACCCAGATCTTAAATCTGACCAATCACATGTCGCCCTGTCGTATCAGGATTTGCACGTCAGACAGCCACAACACAACTTGCATCAACTGCAGCAGCACGACGACGACCATGGCGAGCACGACAACGACCGAAGCCAAGGCGGCGATTCTCAACTGGGCCGACCAGAAGGACGGGCAGTTCAAGCGCCAAGTCTCTTCGTTCCGCGACTTTATCGGCTCGGAACGCTTCCCGGCCGAGAAGGGCCGGTACCATCTCTACATCTCGTGGGCCTGTCCGTGGGCGCATCGCACAGCCATCGTGCGCAAGCTCAAGGGCCTCGAGTCGGTCATCGGGCTCTCGGTCGTGAGCTACCTCATGGGCAAGGACGGCTGGCACTTTTCGACTCCCGACGAAGAGGCCGGCACGATCCCCGATACGGTCAACGGTGCCAAGCTCGTGCGCGAAATCTACTTCAAGGCCGAGCCCAACTACAGCGCACGCTTCACGGTGCCGATCCTTTGGGACACCAAGCACGAAACGATCGTCAACAACGAGTCGAGCGAGATCATTCGCATGCTCAACTCCGAGTTTAACGCGTTCTCGTCGCGGCCGTCGCTGGATCTGTACCCTCTTGCGCTGCGCCCCGAGATTGACGAGCTCAACGCGTGGGTCTACGACGGCATCAACAACGGCGTGTACAAGTCGGGCTTTGCATCGACGCAGGAGGCGTACGAGTCGAACGTCTACGCACTCTTTGCCGCCCTTGACCGCGCCGAGGCCCACTTGGAGAAGAAGGCGTGGCTTGTCGGCAATACCCTCACCGAGGTAGTCACTTCTAATACGTCATGGCCCATGCGAGCAATTTTTTGCAGGCGGACATTCGACTCTTTACGACCATTCTGCGCTTTGACCCGGTGTACCACGGCCACTTCAAGTGCAATCTCAAGACGATTTCACACGACTACCCCAACGTACGTACATTTACGTTGGAAGATCTGGTGCAATCATATCGCCGATCGTGGATGTAGCTGCTCCAGCACGCGCGGCGCGTCTTCCAGCTCGAGGGCGTCGCCGAGACTGTCAACATGACGCACATTAAGCGCCACTATTACATGAGCCACCTCCAAATCAACCCGTTCGCGGTTGTGTCGGCGTGGAACGGACCCGACCTCTCGACGCCGGTTGTCGAGAGCGCTCTGACGTGGTAGATCGTGGATGCATTTGGCATGAATCAAACCGCAGAATTCAAAACTTCAGTTCTCTCTCGATACATCCACAGGAAAAGGAGACACGCATCCATTTCGAGAGAAATTGAAGCCGTATCAAGCCCCAGTAGCAGTAGTTCGTGCAACGGATGGGTGCTACTCGATATCGTCGACGCGCCTTCGTGGAGCGATTGACAACAGTCTACTTGTGGCACCGAAAGTTCGTAAAACAGCCATACAAGGACATCAACTCGATATGTGGTCCATTCAAACCTATATCGGTGCGAGCAGCGACAGCAGCATCCTATATCAATCATTGATAGAAATAAGTCACGGTCATGTATGATCGGCATTAGGCGGGACTAGGATACTGAGAAATGCAACATGGTACGCATGAAGAAAGTGGGAGAGCGTTCGGAGGCTTAGGCATAGCGCGTGTCGTCGGCGAGGCGGGCGTAGCCGTCTTCCATGGAGACGTAGCCATCCGTCTTCTTGGCAAGCAGCACCGAGGCGACGACGGCGACGGCAGCGATGCACGCGACGACCAGCAGCCCGTTGTTGGCAGCCGAACTGTACATGGCATTGAGCTGGCTGGAACCAACGGAAACGGCTTTGGCCGAGCACTGCGACACGGTGTCGCTGAGGTACGTGGCCACGCTGACGCTCTGACTGTCGGAGTAGACGAGCACGTCGTCGTC